ATAATTTTTTTCCAAATTATCTCGGCTTTGCTCCGGCTGATTGGCATACTTTTAATTTTATGGTATAATCGTAAACGAGAACTAGCGGCAGACATACGCGGAGCCCAAATTGTCGGAGTAGATAATATGCTCGCTACTTTACGAAAATTGTTGGAATTGGAAAATCGCCACTGAACGGTGGATGGGGTTGATTTGTCCGAAGACGAAAGAATGCCCCAGGGAGAACCGAATTCCCTTTCCTCTTTAAAATTTAATCCGGAAAAAAAAAAGCGAGGAATTTTAGATTTATTTCGCACTCATCCCAGTTTAGAAGAAAGAATTACCCGTTTNGAAAAATTTAAAAAAGAGCAAGGTAGCACCGGGATTATTTAGTAAAAGTTGGTTCGTTTTTTAGGCATTTAATCATTGAATAAGGTGGTAAACTGCTAAAATAAAAAAGGCAATACAAGCGATAATGGACCCGAAAAAGAAAATACTTCCTGTTATGGCGGCTCCTTTGGCACTAAATACGCTTCCTATCAACGCCCCGAGGGCGGTTGAAAAAGCAATAATAAGCCCCGAAACCATTCAACAAGCCCCATAAATAACACATCTAGTGCGGTGATATTTTTTAATTTCTTCTCTACTTTCCTCGCTCTCGGTTAAATTTGCTGTGTGTGTGTGTGTGTTGTATCTATCATATATTATTTTTAATAACCAATGAACGAATTACACCAACCGGTAATGTTAAAAGAATTTTTGGAACACTTAAACTTGAAAGAGAATGGGATTTATGTGGATGGGACTTTTGGCACCGGGGGACACTCCCGTGCCATTTTAGGAAAATTAAAAACCGGTAAATTAATCGCGTTTGAATGAGACCAAAAAGAATATGAATTAGCCCGTCAAGACAAAACTTTCTCTACTTCTCGCTTTATTCTAATTAACGATAATTTTGCTAATTTAGCCGAGCATTTGGAAGAACTAAATATCAAAAAAGTAGANGGATTTTTATTTGATTTNGGTTTATCTTCTTATCATTTAGCCGACCCCGCTCGGGGATTTAGTTATCGGGTCAATTCCCCTTTGGATATGCGAATAAACCAAGCCAATAAAACCAAGGCGGAATATGTTATTAATAATTATCCAGTTGAAAAATTGGCGGATATTTTTTATCACTATGGCGAAGAAAAAAAAGCCCGTTTAATTGCTCGGAAAATTGCTTTCTGACGCCAAAAAGAAAAAATTACTACTACCCAACAATTAGTCGGAATAATCGCCGCTTGNTTTTCCGTTAAAAAAAANNCGCACCCNGCTCGTCGCACTTTTCAGGCTCTCCGAATATATGTCAATAAAGAGTTGGAAAACCTTGCCCGGGTTCTTGAAACTGCTCTCGCTTATCTTTCCCCGAACGGAAGCATTATTGTGTTGAGTTACCATTCCCTAGAAGATAGAATTGTCAAACAAACTTTTAAAAAATATAGTCTACTCGATAACTTTCAAACTACTAAAAAACCGCTTGTTCCTACTGCTAACGAAATCCAAAAAAATCACCGGTCCCGCAGTGCTAAAATGCGAATTTTAACCCGGATTAATTAATACTATTTGGGAATAATTATATAAAATAACTTATATGTGAAATACTGGGCAGTTAATTATTGCGGTGTTAGTTTCCTTGGTTNNCGGAATTATTGGNGGGGTTCTTCTCGAACGTTATTTACAAAAAAAATCAGTGGAGGAAGCCGAAAAAAAACTTAAATCATTAGGAAAAGAACAAACTAAAAATATACTGAGNGCCATGGGAAAAAAGCCCAAACCCGAAGACTTGAACCGATTTGTGAGCCGAATTGAAACTGAAAAAAATCCCTCCCCGAGTTCCAAAAAGAAAAAGAAGAAAAAAAAATAGTTTATGCAGATTGACCTTTTTCTGACCTGCGGAGGATGCACGAAAAAACACCAAAATTATCGGACTTCCCGAGCCAAAAACCCCCAAGGTGATAAATTAAGTTTGAAAAAATTTTGTCGGTTCTGTCAAAAAACTCAAATTCATAAAGAGGAAATTATTAAAAAAAAAAGAAAGAAAAAAAAACCCCGAAGTTAATATTAGAATATGACCCGAGCAACTAATNCCCCGGCGACCCGGCGACGTCGCAAAAAAGTTTTGAAGCAAGCCAAAGGATTTTTTGGCTCCAAACATAAATTATTTAAAACTGCCAAAGAGCAAGTAATGCGTTCATTGGCTTATGCTTACCGNGACCGGAAGCAACGAGGAAGATTTTTCCGAAAAAGCGTTTGGAATACTCGCTTAAATATTGCCTTGCGGAACGAATGAAAAGAAAAAGGACTAAATTACTCTCGCTTCATTCATTTAAAAAAATTAGCCCAAATTGAATTGAACCGAAAACAATTATCCGAAATGGCAATTCGAGAACCCCAAAATTTCACGGCTTTGATTGATAAAGTGAAAAATCCTTGGTAAAGAATTAAAAATAAGAGATTGGGAAATAAAAAAACATTTATTCTTTATTGATAATATGGCAGGTCATTCTCATTCCGCAAATATTAAATATCGAAAAGACCGACAAGACAATGCCCGGAGTCAACTTTTTTTGAAAGTCCGGAAAAAAATTGAAAACATTCTCCGCGAAGAAAAAGAGATTAACGAAAAATCACTTAGTGTGGCTCGGGAAAATCAATTTCCCAAAGAAAAAGTCTACCAAATCTGAGAAAAAATTAAGCAAAATTCTGAAACAAACTCTTTCGCTCCCGTTCTCTATCAAGCCCCTTTCGGCATTCTCATTTACTTGGAAAATAATTCTAATCTTTCAAACANTTTCGAAAATCAATTAAAATTAAAAAAATTACCGCTTGCTTGNCGAGGAAGTTATTTTCAATTAATTTACAGTTTAAAAGTGNGNGAGGAAAAAAAANCGAGTTTAGAAGATTATTTACTGACTNCTTTATCCGAGGATATTTGAGAAAAAATAAATTATAATGATTTGAAAAATGAGTTTAGTTCTTCTGATAAAGAAGTTATGGAAAAATTCCAAAACATTATCCAACAAGATGGTTTAGTAATAGAAGAAAAAAAAAATTTTTGAAAACCCTTAATTCCTTGCCAATTAAGTAAAAAGGAGGAAATTGATTATTATCAAGAGTTAGAAAAAAGTTTAGTTGGTAGTAAATACTATACTAACGTAGAAAAGTAAACAAAACAATTACGGGACCATAATCTCAGTTGGTAGAGGGCTCCCTTGATAGGGGAGAGGTCGGTGGTTCGAGCCCACCTGGTCCCACCAGAAAATCAAAAATCTACTTATACTCTACTAGGGTATAAATTAAAGGCTTTTTTTTATTCCAATCTTTCAATAATTCTTTTTCAAAATAGTCGTTAATTTGTTCNGAAAAGTCTTTTNTTGNCCCTTTTTTAGCAGAAACTTTTTCANTCTTTCAATGAATNNCTCTTTTTTGTAAATATTCATTAAGTTTATTTNTTCACTCGTTAAGCAAATTTTCATTTTTTTTCATATTAATAAAGCCATAAGTAAAAATATAAGGAGAGTTGCTTAACTTTTCTTTTTTTTCTTTGTCAAACAATACCACTAAAATTAATCCTCCTCCTAGCATTTTTTCCCGCAAATTCAGATTATTATTTATTTCTTGGAGCGGGAGTAATTTTTGGTTTAGCACATAATTAGGCTGGGTATTTACTTTAAGTTTACTTAATCAAAATTCGGCTCCTTGGGATTCTATCACCTCTCCATTTTGGCAAACAAAAATGTTGCTGGCTTTTATCCCTACTTCTTTAGCTAGTCGCTCATGATTTTTCAGCATCCGAAAATCGCCGTGAAAAGGCATAAAATAAGTAGGTTTAACTAACTTCAAAATCAGTTTTAAGTCTTCTTGGCAAGCATGACCGGAAGCATGGAGTAAATCTTCGCGACTGTTTTCATAGATTTTAGCTCCGGTAGNAAAGAGGCGATTATTAATTGTTTCNACCGCAAATTTATTATCCATAATGGGCGAAGAAGTTAAAATAATTGAGTCTTTTGGTTCAACTTTTCAACCCGGATAAATTTGGTGGGCTAAACGACTCAGAACTGCTTTTTCTTCCCCTTGGGAACCGGTGCAGAAAATAATTAATTTTTGATTGGGAGTTTTGGCAATTTCTTTCGCTCCTAAAAAGGCGGATTTATCTATTTTTCATAAACTGGCTTTTTTAATTACTTCCATCATTCTTAACAGTGATTTTCCCAGCAAAACAATCTTTTTACGAGTTTTTTTAGCAATTTCAATTACTTTTTTAAGTCGGTAAACATTGGAAGCGAAAGAAGTAACAATTACTCTACC